CATCATCTCCGCCACGCTTTCATCATCTCCTCATCCATCCAGCCCTTTTCATTTGCCTTAATATCATATGTCATCAGAGCGATGTGTCTGTCTCGCTGTCAGCTCCCAGATCAGCTTCTCTGATTGGTTGATGCGGCGCTTCCAGCAGCAAAACTTCAATTTTTCCATCTCGAGCTGCAGCAGCGCGTTGGTGGCGCGTCAGATAAACGCTCCCGACGCGCTGCGCCTGCTGCTCAAAATGCGCTGCGGGACCTTTTGCTGCGTCTATACGCACGCCAACCATTGACTTTGCATGTAAACTCGCTGCTTCTGCTGCGCCTGCTGCGTCCGGTTCACACCGATGTTGAGCAGTTGAATAACAGCAACCACAGTGTTAATTTGTTTCACCATGTTTTTCACATCAGCTGTGAGATGGGCACGCACGGAGTCACAGAATAACAGCAATAGTGATGAGTGGAAAAAAACCACCTGGTCTCCTTACATTCATCTCCCTCAGCCACTCTTTCATCATCTCCTCAATGAGGTGGTCTCAAAAGTCCGCAGTTACAACACACATAGGGCGCACCGCACCAAAGGGCGCACCGCACATTTTGAGGGGAAAAAAAGACGTTTATGTGCGCCTTATAGTCGTGAAAATACGGTAACTTGTTACAGGTACATGTATACCATATATTTGTAACAGCTATATTTCATTCCAATTAAATTCAGTTTATTTATATAGAGCTAATTCACAACACATGTCATCTCAAGGCACTTTACAGTTCACCAGATCATACAGTCAAATTGATTCAACATTTTCTATCTAAGGAAAACAAGTTGATTACATTGACTCACTGACTCGAAGGCAATCCCTCACACTAAGCATGCCTGTTGTGACAGTGGAGAGAAAAAAACCCCTTTTACAGGAAGAAACCTCCAGCAGAACCAGGCTCAGTGTGAACAGCCATCTGCCGAGGCCGACTGGGATTCAAGGAGACAGAAGCAGAGATACAAAAAGCAACTGTAAAAGGCGGGCCCCATCCAGGAAACACACAGCCAGGCAGACAGGGTTAGGGTTAGCCAACTCCCATGACAGAAGAGGAAGAGAGCTCATCCAGCCAGTCACAGTCAGAGAAACAGGACAACACTGGAAAAACAGGCCGATCTCCAACATCTATAAACAAAGGTGTTGATGGCAGCAGCACAGCTGATATTTTTCTCCAGGATGGTGTCAAAGCCAAAGAGGAACAGACGCGGCAAAGCTACTATGAGAAAAAACAGAGAGAGTATACCATTAGAGAGTGAACTAACAGATTCTGCAGAGTGGGAGAGTAGACATAGGATGAAGCAGAATGATGCAATAGGGGTCCCTATGTGAAGTCCTCCAGAAGTCTAAGCCTATAGCAGCATAACTATAGAGATAGCCTAGGATAACCTGAGCCACTCTAACTATAAGCTTTATCAAAAAGGAAAGTTTTAAGCCTACACTTAAAAGTAGACAGGGTGTCTGCCTCACAGACTAAAAGTGGTAGTTGGTTCCACAGGAGAGAAGCCTGATAACTAAAATATCTGCCTCCCATTCTACTTTTAGAAATTCCAGGAACCACTAGTAAACCAACAGATTGAGAGCGAAGTGCTCTGTTAGGAACATAAGGAACAATCATATCTCTGATATAAAATGGAGCTTGGCCATTTAAGGCTCTACATGTGAGAAGAAGGATTTTAAATTCTATTCTTGTTTTAACAGGAAGCCAATGAGGAGAAGCTAGGATAGGATCTGAGAGATGTGATCTCTCTTTGTAATTTTCACAAAACTCTGGCTGCAGCTTTTTTGGATCAGCTGAAGGCTTTTAACTACAAAGTTAGCACACAGCTTCAGTTGTTTCAGCTAGTAACCACTGATCAGGCCCGAAATCTAGGTGTAGTGCTGGATTCAGACTTGAACCTCCAAAAGCATTTAAAGACAATTACAAGGTCGGCTTTCTATCGCCTGAAGAACATTTCCAGGATTAAAGGACTGTCTCAGCATGATCTGGAAAAAACTAACACACTATCCATGTGTTTATTTTAAGTCAAATTGATTACTGCAACAGTGTTTTCACAGGTCTGTCTAAAAAGGGGATCAAACATCTGCAGCTGATCCAGAACGCTGCTGCCCGTGTCCTCACTAAGACTAAGAAAGTAGAGCACATCACCCCAGTTCTAAAGTCCTTACACTGGCTCCCTGTATCTCAGAGAATAGACTTTAAAATACTTCTGTTAGTCTATAAATCTCTGAATGGCTTAGCACCTAAATACATCACAGACTTGCTATCAGTGTATCAACCCTCCAGACCACTCAGGTCGTCTGGCTCCAGCTTGCTCTGCATAGTTAGAACCAGAACTAAACATGGAGAAGCAGCATTTAGTTCCTATGCTCCACTTATCTGGAACAAACTTCCAGAAAAGTGTAAAAGTGTAGAAAGCCTGAGTTCCTTTAAATCAAGACTAAAAACACGATTGCCTTCGACTGTTCTAGTTAAACAGTTCAACTGAAACATCATTAGTTCAACTTTTTTATTTTCTTTAGTCCAACTGTTTTTAATGTTCTTTTTTGTTACTGCATTTTAATTTTTTTTTTACCTACTTGCTTTGATTCAGTTTTTTTTCCTATATTTTAATCATGTAAAGCACTTTGCATTGTCTTTGTACTGAATTGTGCTATACAAATAAATTTGCCTTGCCTTACAGTTTGTGGACTTCCTGAGAGTAAATAATTACTATAGTCCAGCCTTGAAGTAACATGTGCATGGACGATTTCTCAGCATCATGCTGACTAATGCTGGTGTATCAGATAAACAAGTAATAAGAACTGGGCGGAGTTAAGCAGGTGTGTGAAATGAGTGATCAGACCAGGCATCAGAGCTGAGATCAAGACACTGACCCTAAACAGAGAGACAGAAGAAAATAGCCAGTAAATCATTAAGACAGATACAGTGAGAAAAGAGGAAAAAGGAAGAGATGCTACGAGAGATCAAAAGAGAAAAGGAAACTTTTTAAAAACAGGGGAAATATGGGGTAGCAGAAGATTCAGAGGAGAAATAGAGACAGGGGCATAGGCAGACAGTGTGATTTTGAAGCAAGTATATGTAGCGAAAGGAGGAAGGCCATTAATATTTTGTACAGTCTACACAAATCCTTTCACAACCTTAAATGCACCACAAAGCAACAAAGAAAAGCAGCACTAACAGAAAGGCAGTGAAATGGAGCACGTCCAATAACCCTCTATGAGCTGATGTGTGTGTGCAATCTGAGAGGACAGGGAAGAAAACCATAGTTTCAAGACAAAAGACAAGTGTATTAGGTAAAGGTAGACATAAAAAACCTTAATTTTGATGTGTCTCATTAAGAGTGATAGAGAGCCGAGACCATCTCTATTGAGCCTGCAAAAGTACAATGACTTTGTTTAAGTAAAGCTGCAGCTGATAAGTCTGCCGCAATCTGCCAAGCTTTATAACATGCAGGATTTTGTGCCAAAGAGATGCTCATAACTCCAGCACAAGCTGTATTAATGTCATTGTTGCATAGACTAATTCAGGACGGAGAGGTGAATAATGCTTTAGGGCTTTTATTTCTTACTTTTTTTTTTTAAAAACAAGACACTGAAAAAAGGAAACAGCAAAATCTAAAAAAAAAAAAAAAAAGCGAAAACTTTTGTGTGTGAACTATGATTAATAAATCAAAATGTTGAATAGATTCAGAAAACAATTTAGACCCTATGAATGAGCAGTTAATAATAAACAAATAAGCCAACTTTGATATTTGTGTAAAAAAAAAAAAAATGTGACCAAGGTATGGATAAAAACAGTTATTTTCAAAAGATTTCAGTCTTTCAAAAAGAAAGACTTAAAGACTAAAATGTCGGTGATGTAACAGGGGCAACTCCCGTCTAAAATGACACCACTCCGACAGTTAATTTAAGGAAGTGGCTCTTATTCAACTATCTGTTGTTAGTGGCTAACGGCCGTGTAAAGCTAGACACACCGGTTCTCAGCTGAAAGCTATGTTAGGTAGCAAGCAAATCCCTCTGGAGAAATCATGCTTGCTGGACCAAGTCAGACTACCTTTCCTACGATTCAGGAGCTGATTGTAGTGACTGAAGGAACAGCTGGGCCAAATTGATGTTTGCCAAGGAGCCGCTAGAAACCGCTGACCTGTGCCACACTGGTCCTGCCACAACAGTTGTACCGCCTGCCTGACCTGGCGCCTCTTTGAGCTAACTGCTGACGCTAAAGAGAGATGTCCCATAAGGCTACTGAGATTTATAAATTAGGCCCTGCAAGTTGTCTCATTATTGCATCAAATTACTCGAAAGCTCTTGGAGAGCTGCTGTTGGACGAATGTACTGGACCGAAGAAGGGGTTTGAGCTGACCGAACCAGGCCAGAAAGTTTCTTCTACTCCTTAGAGCCAAAACAGTAACATCCACCCTTCCCTCTCTTCATTTGATGCATAATAAGAATAATACCTATGTGAACTTCTTAGATATGTGTGCATGTATTTGTGTTTTATCTGAAAAGCTTTCAGATCGTACTGCTGATAGTTTAAGAGTTTTGAATACTAATGTTCACCTAGCCGACTGAACAACAAAGTGGTACCATCTCAGACATCCCAAGTCTACTGGAAGTTCCGGAAGTCTACCTGATATCGATAGTTGTTCACGGATGACTGCAAGTCGGATAAATTATCCCCGATTTTAGACTCTGCGAGGTGTTTTTTTTTTTTATTGTGAGTGAGAGCGAGCAGGCAGTACAATAATTCATGCATCACATGCTGATTAGAACTACTGCGATTGCGCAGACAACAAGAGAGTGCGGGGTGTGAGAAGGAGGTTGCTGGTGAAACCTGTGCACCGTATCTGTCCAAAGCGATGCTCTGTTCAACCAGCATTCCAGGCGACTGGTTGATCAGAGAGCTGATTGGATCAGTCTGATAATGTCTCTGGGTTACTCTCTGGCAGTCACCTAGTTACCACTCAAAGCTGTGCATCCTGTGAAACGGAAGAGGTTGAATCCTCGAGTAAAAAACTAAAATATAGGACTAATTTTACAGCAGAATAGACTAAAGTATATCCATGTCTAGTGAAGGGGAGGAACAGTGGCGGATCTAGACCAAATGTACCAGGGGGCCAGGAGGGGGGCGGCGTGTTTTCATGGGGGAACAGAAAAACGTGAAATAAAAAACAGGGCAAGGGATTCAAATATATTAAGAGAGCTGCATGAAGTGAAATTTCTTTTCAATTAGGTTCACTAAAGATTCTATTTCTTATGAGGTCAATATACATTTATAATTTAGAAATTTTACACATTGTTGACTTAATTTGAGTTAAAACTACTGTCTTCTATAAAATTTTTATTAGAACTCAAGAAAAACTGTTATTACTGTTATGTAATTCATCTGTAAAAATTTTAGCATTTTTTCTTTATTTGTTGTGAAAATAAAAAAATTATCATTTAGCAGCTGAAAACTGGGATCCTATCTCAATACCACTGAAGTTATCACCTTATTGTTTTTTAATAATTAGTAAAACAGAATTTGTAAAGAAAAAGAATGAAGTAGATCCAAATGACCTATCAGTAACCATGTCTGTTCCAGAGCATATTATCAATAGAATTTCTTGTAAGTATTATGTAGGTATTATTATGTGTAAGTATATGGGGCCATAACAGGGGCCAGGACATGATCTATAGGGGCACCGACCCCCGTTGGCCCCTGTCAAGAACCGGCCATGGTGAGGAATGAGAACACCGTGGCGAGGTTCACTGTATGCTGAAGTCCCATGAAAAAAAGAAAGCAGAACTGATGTTCAAGATTGAAAGTTTTGAAAGTATTAAAAATAAGATCAATACTGTTCTGTTTTGTGTCTGTTGTCCCCAGGGGGTGGGGCGTTTTTTTTTTTTTTTATGGGGGGGTGGGGTTGTGACAGGGGTATAGCCATCTCCCTGAAATGAGTTTCTGGAACTTGGGATGTCTACCATCTGTTTCTGGAGCGACTGCTACAGTTGACTGGCTAGTATTATTAGCTCCCAGCTAACTCATGTCTGGCCAAATTGTAACACCCAAGTTTTGAGCCTAACATTCATTTGCATCGGCTGGACCTGCCCAAGCCGGACATCCTGGGTCCAGCTAAGCTAACCCATTCTCTTTCAGCTTCATCACAGTTTAGTGCATTCCTGAGTCAATCATTTCCCCCAAATAACTGAGTGAAACTTCACTTTTGACTGCACTTTATCTTTGCTACAAGGTTTATTCACATTTATCTGCTGCTAATTTAAAAGATAACTTAAATGCATTAAGCCTTTAAACTTGTCCAACCTTTTATGTAAATACTAAGAACCCTGGTAAGCAAATTAAAGTCATAATCATTCAACTATGGTAATGATAAATAATTTTACCCTTGATTTGAATGACCTATCAATCAACTTTAATGTCAAGTTCTAGTTATTTTATATACTCATAATCTTCTGGTAAACTTCCAAAACACTCAATCATTTATTCATGCATTTCATTTTGTATGATATTGTTTCTTCTCTATCAAATATCAAAAGCCTACTACATTAAAAGTTAGTTGAATGTTAGTCATATCAAAACCTAGAAAGGTTACTTTTTTGCAGTCTTGAAAATGTCTGAACTAATCTGAAATATAACCAAGGGCGGAATAATGAACTCTGTTTCTTCTTTGCAGGGAGAAGAGGTCTTGAGGTCTATTAACTCTGACAACAGAAAAATGAATATTAAGAATGATTGATATACAAATATCTGCTTCAAGCTGAACAAAGAAAGATCACCAGAAAGATGTGGGAATCGTTTATTCCAAAATAGAAAGCTCTAAGGCAAAACAGACAAGAGTATGATGAACAAACCGAAATGACAAACCAGCTCTCTCAGACTTAGCCAAGTGTCCAACTAACAAGACTGATATAAACTAAATCACTGCAACTATTGTCCAATGCAATTTTTACCATGAATTTGACAAGAGGCACCTGAATTGTGGAGTAATCTTAACTTGAATAAAACTTGTTTACTGCAAAAGTGTGCGATCCCAGTTCTTTTTAATGGGTACAAACACTGAAAGTCCAATGTCTATGTAATAGAAACAACAAAGAAATAAAAGCTCAATGAATAGAAAATGTCCAATGGTCCTTGTTGGTGCGATCCAGTGTGGATTGGATCGTGTCTATACATGTTTTAGTCTCAGACCGAGTGATTGTGATGTAAGCATAGTGTTCTTGATTGTGCATTTGACAAAGTCATGCCAAGGTTACTACTGTGAAATGACATATGCATAGTATACATGTGGAGCGATTAAAAGAAAAAACATGAGCACAAGTCAAGTTATTATGCAAGATTACTTCTTCAGATAGCTATTAGGCTGCAGCACGCAAACTCTTCAATCTTTTTACAATTCTGTTCTGCAGTTTAGTGTTTTAAATCTATTTTCTCAATAGTAGAAATTGTTTGTGCTTCTTGGCAAGACATTTTCTAGAAAGGATCCCATAAGGCCATGTTACTCTTGAGTTCAAAACCAATTTGAATTGTAATTTTCATCAGCATTCAGTTTCTTTTCTTCATACAGAACCCTAAAAAAAGGGCAGTTGTTTTTCTTTAGGAATTTTTACATAAATATTCCTTACAAAACAAAGAAATAGGAAAAAGAAAAACACTAGTTTTATGTTTGTTTAGAAAAATAAGCATATCTACGATTTTCCTTTCCCAACTCAACCAGGTGAGAGTTAGTGAGGAAGAATGCATACATCTACTTGTAACACAAGCATGCAAAGAATGAATTCAAACCATTACATATACAATTTCTACATATTGGCATCCAAAAAACAAATCAGAATTCAGCTGGAGACAAAGACCAAATTAAACAAAAACCAAAACAAAACACTTAATGAAGTTTACAAACTTGTTTGTGTTTTTAACACACATTTTCTGTTTGATTTAATCTTTTCAGCTTAAATATACAAAAAAAAGTGCACTCGCCTACACAAATAAAATTGTTAAAAAAAACAGTTTCTGAAGTGAAACTCCTGATTACACACATGCAGCACAGATTGGAGGTCAGCTGGAAGAGCACAGGAATGTTCATGGACATACTGTGCTTTTGTGCTCGATGTAAACCCAATGTGTCTGCAAATACACATCCCTTTTGAGTATGTGTAGATCAGTGTGTAAGCATTTACTGCAATGAGTCGCTGTTGTCCAGGCCCAGCCCGGTCATATCAGCATCGTCATCATCTTCCCCACTATCACCCGACTCGTCTTCACTGTGGCCTGCTAACATAACCTGCTGCACTGCGAGTGTGGCTCCATCTGATGTAAGGCTCTGCAGACCCTCCATGTTCATAGTCACCATTGTACCTGAAAAGAAGCATGTAAAAGATTGGCCTTAACTACATCGTGAACAACCGCTTCGGCTCGCAACAAACCCCCTCATCTAACTTGCTGAAAACAAGTAGATGAGCTTTTGTTAAACAACATGGAAGATAGAGAAAATAATGTTGACAAAGGATGAATTTGGGAATGCCCTTAAGATATGCTTACAAGCATATCTGTCAAATGGGATGCAGCAGCTTAAAGAATCTCTTATCTTTATACGGGTCGTCATCAAATTAATCAAATCAAGAGTGTTGTGTGGTACCATTTTGATCTAATGCTTGTCTTAATTTCTGTTTTGTGTCATCCTGTTCCTCTCAGTTATCACTAAACTTAACTGAATTTAAATCCATTTCAAATGGACTCTTAGCTTACCATTCTTACTCTACTTATTGTTTTAAATAATTACAAAAATAATCCTAGTTCACAAGCATCCCTATTGACAAGCTCGCTTAAAATGTTACATTAAGATATATGTTCTCATATGAACTGTATCTGAAGATATTTTCAATTTAAACAAAGTCCAGGGGCACAAGGGGGAGTATTGGCCTAGTGGTTATAGCAGTGCGCTTGTGCTCTGAGAAGGTTGCAAGTACCATGTTCAATACCCACATCCAGCAATCTGGGTTCCCGAGCAAAACCCTTAACCCCACACTGCTCCCCGGGCACCACACAATGGCAGCCCCAAAGGGGAATGCATTAAATGCAGAGAGCTAATTTCCCTATTGTGGGAGAATAAAGGGATATACATTTAAAATGCCACACTACGTTGAAAAAGTCAGCTACAACAACCTCACAACATCCAGAGACTTGAGGTATTTGCCTCTTAAACACAAAATTTACTTTTGAAACCTTCAAAGCCATTATCTTCAGCTTGCACATTTTGCAGTAGAAAAAGAAAATCACTACTTTCTCACAATTTGATCCTTTTTTTAGCTGTTCTATTCTCATAATACATTCCAATTTCATTTTTGCCTCGATATTTCAATCTCTACAGTTGGAATAAAAAGCAAAAAAAAAAAAAAAAGTATTTTACCTGTAGCTGAGTTAAAGCTACCTTTTTCTAAGAACTTCAAATACACTGCCTGGCCAAAAAAAAAGGTCATTCACTCTAATACTTTGTTGGACCGCCTTTAGCTTTGATGAAGGCACGCATTCGCTGTGGTATTGTTTCGATAAGCTTCTGCAATGTCAAAAGATTTATTTCCATCCAGTGTAATTTTTCACCAAGATCTTGCATTGATGATGGTAGAGTCTGACCGCTGCACAAAGCCCTCTCTAGCACATCCCAAAGATTCTCAATGGGGTTGAGGTCTGGGGTCTGTGGTGGCCAATCCATCTGTGAAAAGGACGTGTCATGCTCCCTGAACCAGTCTTTCACAATTTGAGCGTGATGAATCCTGGCATTGTCATCTTGGAATATGCCTGTGTCATTAGGGAAGAAAAAGTCCATTGATGGAATAACCTGGTCATTCAGTATATTCAGGTAGTCAGTTGACCGCATTCTTTGAGCACATACTGTTGCTGAACCTAGACCTGACCAACTGCAGCAACCCCAGATTATAAAACCGCCCCCACAGGCTTGTACAGTAGGCACTAGGCATGGTGGGTACTTCACTTCACTTGCCTCTCTTCTTACCCTGATTCGCCCATCATTCTGGAACAGGGTAAATCTGGATTCATCATAATTGCCCATGCAGTAATTATCCAATAGGAGGCTTGTACCTATTTGCTTAGTTGAATCCAGGTGGCGAATTTTTTTTTGGCCAGGCATGTATATAATTGACAGGACCTTTCCCTAGAACCCGGATTTAAGCAGGAGGCTGCTGCTCTTACCATCAGGCATGGTAACTTGCTGATGAGTCCCCCCTCCAGCAGCAATGGAGTCAGGCCAGAAGCGCTGCAGCGGCCGGTTTTGTGGCGTTTTCTTCTTGGTTTTGGGGGTCTCAGAAGAACTAGCATCCAACATTGGCTGCAAGATCCGTCTCCGTGCATTTATGAACCTAGAAACAGCCAAAGTTTTGGGGGGGTTGTATGATTAGATTTTGCACATATGAAGCAGACATAGCAAAAGTTCAAGACACACCACTTACTTTGTGAGCTACATAGTTGAAGCATATGTTATATGTTATATATGTTATATAAGTACAGGCCATTTACCATTTATGTTCCTCAGGCTAATATACAGTGATTGACACTATCAATGCTACGAGTGGGGCTCCCCTCTTGAAATACCGATTGTGTAACTTGGGAGTTGACGTACTGTCATTAGACAGGTCATGTGACCTGGAAGAAAGTATTGCTTTATGGCCAGCGGCTCTCATACAGCCAAGGAGCTCAGGCTTTTGCTCTAGTATTTTTCTGCTTGCTCAACTACTAGTCATGGCTGAGGCAAGGAAAAAGTTTAAACTTTCTGAGGAGGGTAAAAAGAGAAAGCATGAAGGGGATCGTGTGTGAGGAAAAACAGAGTCCATCTTGGAAAGGAGTTTGTTCGTTGGCGCAGGCTGTAAGAAGAAGCCGGATGTAAAACAGATTCTCTTTTCTGAACTTTATTATTAGATTGGTAAGTTAACACTTTGCTCCTAGTATACAGTCAAATAGCTTTGAATTTTTATAGCTTTAGATTTTTTAATGCTTAGCAGAAGCAAAATACTATCAGAGAAAGCTAGCAGGCTACAAGCACAAGCTAACAACCGCACAGCCTAAATGTGTAAATCTCAGTCATTCCGTGCAAACCACCGATTCACGTTTTGAGCAGCAGGCGCAGCGCGTCGGGAGTGCACCGCCAACGCGCTGCTGCTGCTAGAGATGGAAAAATTGAAGTTTTGGTGCTGGAAGCGCCGCATCAACGAATCAGAGAAGCTGATCTGGAAGCTGGCTGTGAGACGACACATCGCTCTGATGACATATGATATTAAAGCAAATGAAAGGGCTGGATGGATGAGGAGATGATGAAAGCGTGGCTGAGGCAGGTGTATGTGAGGAGACCAGGTGGTTTTTTCCACGCATCACCATCGCTTTTAATATGTGACTCCATGCATGCCCATCTCACAGCTGATGTGAAAAACATGAAAAAAAAAAACGCTGTGCTCGCCGTTATCTCGGGGGTCTGACAAAGGAACTTCCACCGCTCGACATCGGTGTGAACCGGCCGTTCAAAGTAAGGCTGCGAGCGGCGTGGGAGCGATGGATGACCGACGGTGACCACAGTTTCACGATAAGTGGAAGGCAGCGCCGGGCAAGTTACGCCACCATTTGCGGATGGATTGTTGATGCTTGGGCTAACGTGTCTGCTGGCTCTGTTGTTCAAGCTTTCGCAAAAGCAGGCATTATTTCTGAGGAGCCGTCCGGCACGGAAAGTGACTCTGACAGCGAAGAAGGGGAAATTGGCATGTCTGATTTAGCGCAGCTGTTAAATTCAGAAACAGAGGATGATGACTTTGATGGGTTTGATTAATACTTTGTAATAAATACATGAATAAAGCACAATCATACTCAGTTTTGGGCCCACTGTATTTTTAAATACGCAGAAGAGGTATTTAAAGGTAGTAGAGGACATGTACCTGTATATAAAAAACGCGCCCTATAGTCCGGTGCGCCTTATGTGTGTGTTAAATACAGAAATGGCACACATAACTGAGACTGCGCCTTTTAGTACGGTGCACCTTATGGTTGTGAAAATACGGTACTGTGCATATTCCAAATAAATTTATAAATATCAATAATTTTTTTAATTGAGGCAATTAAAATGTGTACTGTGGAAAAAAAAAAAATTCTTCCATGTAGCCAAAAGGCTAATTAGAACAGGAATTATCACAACTTATGTAGAGCATAGTGATTTAGCCATTACATGACGGAGACTAAACTGCCACAGTAGAAATTTTTGAAAGCGATTGTTCATCTTTTAAAAGAGATGCCAGTAGCCTGCCATTTTTTAAAACAAAATAAAAATGTATACATTTCTCTCTTTCAAACCTTGCTTTGCTATTGATTTAAAATATGACACTTTTGGTTTTGTATGCTGTGTTTATGCTGTACATGATATGAATTTTGAGGGAATTCAGATTGATTTAGTTTGTTTCAGAAAAACAATTCAAGAAAAACTTACCAGTTGTTGACTTGGAGGAGAGTCAGATTTGTTTGACTGGCAATGTGTTTCTTTTCATCTTCTGTTGGATAGGGATGCTATATAAGGAAAAATAGAAAATCCATAAATACAAGGTATGACGCATTTATGTATAAAGATTATTTATCTACTCACCCCAATATGTTGAAACAGCCAAGAACGCATGACATTGGTGGCATGTTTGGGAAGAACGCCCCGTTTATTCTTTGTCGAGTTGTCCTCGTGATTAAAGAGGTTCAAATCCTGGTGAAACTGCAGCTGAAGCTAAGCACACAAGCACTTAAGAATTTCAACACATTCTCTATTTTCAAGAAAACAAAAAGAGTACTGAGAGAAACCAAAATACAATAAATATATTAACTGATTATTAACAGAAATATTTGTTATTGCAACTCTGTACTCTCTCCCAATGAAATTGTCCACTGAATTTGACAATTTCCTTAAGAAGCAGTTGGAGTTGGAGTCCGGTGACTATTATGGGTATAAAAGAGTCTTGCTTAGGGACACAGAATAGTACACTGTGTGCAGAATTATTAGGCAAGCTTTATTTTTGAAGATTATTTTTATTATTGGGCCACAATTGTGTTTTCAATCAACCCAAAAGACTCCTTAATATCAAAGTTTCATATTTTTGTTTTTGTTGTAGTCTCTTGTTATTCACACACAATAAATAGTGTTTTTTTTTTTTTTTTAGATTTGGTCATTGTATGAGGATGTCTGTGTGTGTAGGTAAATATTACTGTGCAGAATTTTTAGGCAACGTAATAAAAAACAAATATATATACCCATCTCACTTATTTATTTTCACCAGGTAAACCAATATAACAACTCAAAATTCAGAAATAAACATTTGTGACATTCAAAAAAAAAATATAAAAATCGGTGACCAATATATCCATATCCATATCAATGAAGCTCAAAAGCCTTTCATCCATAGATTCTGTCAGTGTCTTGATCTGTTTGTGATCCACATTTCGTGCAGCAGCCACTACAGCCTCCAAGACACTGTTTAGGGAGGTGGACTATTTTCTCTCCCTGTAGATCCCGTAGATGGAGAATGCGGTTCAGATCAGGTGAACAAGGGGGCCATGGATTTTTTCTCCTTTTAGACTTTTTCTGGCCAACCATGCTGTGGTGTATTTTTATGTGTGTGGTGGAGCATTGTCCTGCAAGAATATCATGTTTTTTCTTGAATGATGGAAACTTCTTGTACCACTGTTTGAAGGTGTCTTCCAGAAACTAGAAGTAGGTCTGGGAGTTGATCTTGACTCCATAAACCCAAAAAGGTCCTACAAGCTCATCATTGATGATACCAGCCCATACCACTACCCCACCTCCACCTTGCTGGTGTCTGAGTCGATAAGGAATTTGCTGCCCTATACTGATCCAGCCTTGTGCCCATCCATGCATCTGGCCCATCAAGATTCACTCTCATTTCATCAGACGAAAACACCTTGGAGAAATCCGTCTTCAGATATTTCTTGGCTCAATCTTGACGTTTTATCTTGTGTGTCTTGTTCAAAGGTGGCCTTTTTCGGATTTCCTTAACTTGGCCAGGTCCTTGAGTATTGAGCACCTTGTGCTTTTTGGCGCTCCAGACATGTTGCAGCTCTGAAATATGGCACAACTGGTGGCTAATTGCTTCCTGGCAGCTTCACGCTTGATCCTTCTCAATTCATGGGGAGTTATTTTGAGTCTTCTTTTTTCAACACGCTTCTTGCGATCCTGTTGGCTATTTGCCATGAACCGCTTGATTGTGCGATGATCCTGCTTCAAAAGCTTGCAGATTTCCAAACTGCTGCACCCCTCTGAAAGACATCTGACAATTTTTGACTTTTCAGAGTCTGTCAAATCTCTTTTCTGACCTATTTTGCCAAAGGAAAGGAAGTTGCCTAATAAATAATCACACCTTATATAGGGTGTTGATGTCATTACGCCATACCCCTTCTCATTACAGAGATGCACACCACCTGATTTACTTAATTAGTAGTTGGCTTTCAAGCCTATACAGCTTGGAGTATGACAACATGTATGAAACGGATGATGTGGTCGAAATACTCATTTGCCTAATAATTCTGCACACAGTGTAATCTGTGGGGATTTGAACCAGGGAACTTGCAACCTTCCAATGATGCAAGTGCGCTACTTTAAATCCAAGGCCTTCATTACTTCTTAGGTAATTAAAAACAAATTAAAAAATAAAATAAAGATTTTCCACATAACAATTTTATCTATGGGAGATAAATGTTATATTTAGACCTAAAAAAAAAAAAAAAAAAAAAAAAAAAAAAAAAAAAAAAAAAAAAAAAATCGGCCACCCTTGGTAACAGAAACTGCCATTTAAAGTTTGCCAGGGATTCAATCTATTGTAGACAAGTTTTTGTCTACTCCATTGCTTTAATAAAAAAAATTAAGGAAGATTATCCTGTTTGAAGAGATGCCGAAGGGTATGTAATATAAACTGATCGAAAATTTATGTATATAAATTTAGGAAAAATATTATGTAAACTTCTTAATCATAAGGCTAACCAGCCAGATTCATCCTGTTTGGAAACACAGTTTTATATAGCAGGTGGGACACACTTGGGCATACATAATCAATAAATCATTTTAAAAAACAATGTACTTTACCCATTATAGCAGCTCAGGGTAACCAAAAAACAGACTAATTATTACAGTAATCCTTTTAGATTCAAAAAACAAATATGAAACAAGGTTCCTTATGATTTACAACGAAGCTTATCGCCTTTCCCTCTTTATGAAATAATCTTGAAATAAAAACCATGCTAAACTTTACAAGGCGGTATCTGAAAATCAACTTTTACTGGCCTCATCCAGTTATAAATCATTCCACAGTCTCTGTTGTAGTAGCATTGTTTTAATATTTGTATATAATGAAATCCTGTTCTGTTTAAAGAGCATGGTCAATCAGTTTGACATTATAGCCTGATGCTGCTTTGTGTTTTAATAACAGCTAGCATGGTTCAGTGGCAGTGACTGCAGCTCTGGTTATTTTACATTTAAAAGCATCTCTTGAATAATATCTCAAGGACTCTTCATAATCTGACCCAGTTAGTGTGGGACATTGTTTTATTTTGTAGGACACCGGGACAATGGTGAAAAATGCAGATCGGGACATTTCATTACAGTATATATTGTAGGATCCTTTCTATATAGTGAGAAAAATAAGTATTTGAACACCCTGCTATTTTGCAAGTTTTCCCACTTTGAAATCATGGAAGGGTGTGAAATTGTCATTGTAGGTGCATGTCCAGTGTGAGAGACATAACAAAAAATGTTTTAAAAAAAAAAATTCAGCCCCCCCCCCCAGATTTTTTAAAACTATTTATTTGTATGATACTGCCAGTGGTGTCAAAAGTAAACACATTTGTTAGCTAAGTAGAAGTATAGATACTGCAGGTTAAAAAAACTCTGGTAAAAGTCGAAGTATCAACTTGACCTATTTATTCAAGTAAAAGTGAAAAAGTATGTGCTCCAAAAACTACTTAAAGTATAAAAATATAAAGTAACCTTTAAAATAAAAAACAGCCAGATGCCACTATATGAATTGAAAATTCTAAAAATTATTTGAGATAGGGCCAAGGATGAGGGAGGTCTTGTTGGTCTCCGTCTCCATCTCCCGATACGCCCTCACCTGTGTCCGACCTTGCAGACATTTCAACATCTTATTCTGAATCTGACATTGTAGCATGGCATAGACAATTCGTGTTTGAAAAACACCCGCTTGCTTCTGGTGATTTTCCTTAGCATCAGCACAGATTCAATGAATAGCTAACCAATGAGTGTTTTCGTTATATGACTCATCCAATTACACTAGTTTTACTAGATGTGGATGGCGCCAATGGTTTGCATTGGATGGCGCACATAACGCGAAATAAATATTTTCAAGCATTAAAGCAG